ATTCTTGGGTATATATTCCGGGAAAACAACACTGTTATAAAAAAAAGAATTAATGTCAACATGCTCATCTGTCACATTGTCAATCTTTATCTGATCATTTGGTTGCAAAAAAAACAGCTTATCCATTCACTTTACACATAAAAACTAGAAAGTATTTTCATAGAATCATTTTCCAAAGCATTTTCTTTTTACAAAATAAAATCATAAAACTTTAAAATATTATTTTTTAAACTATGATCTAAATTTAAAAAGAATTAATTAAAATTGTCGCATAAAATTTTCAATTTTATGCGACAATTGTAATTAATTTGTATTAATTTAATGCGACAATTTGTATTTTTAAAACCGACTTAAGATTCACTTAATGTTTTTTAATGAAAAATTTTCTAGAATATGTGTGATTTATCATACATATTTTACAGAATTCTCAGCTTTGAATTTATAAAATTCATTTTTCCAATTAAAATTCATTCTCGTTGTTCTTAATAAGTAAAATCGAACTTAAAATATCAGAAAAAGTAGTAAGGGAGCTGTTATAAGTAGATTGACGGAAGCAAAGAAAATTATTATAGATCAAATTTCTTATTTAAATTTTCACACATTCTAAAATTGTTATATAAACGACAATGAAATACGAGTGCATTGTGATTTGTTTATCTTGGCTTAATGCATAAACAATTTATCTTAGTTTTACACTAATTTATATATTTTTATTTTATTCCATATTTACCTGATCTTATTTGATTATTCTATCATTTAAATATGAATAAATTATTCTTTCATTTCATTAATGATTTTTTTTTATTTTTCTTTATCTCAAAATACTATAATTTTGTGTTTTGAAATATGGAATAATGAAAGATATAAATCAACATAATACCTTTCTAATTTTTAAATATTATTTGTAAATTTGAGTTATGTTGATAAATCATTAATCATTAATCATCATAAAATTTTAAAATATTTTCTTATTTAATTAGTTACGGATAATTATTATTTGTTTTTTTAATTATTAATTAAATTGTATTGAAATTTTCATTTTAGCAATATAAAATTATATCTTTGATAAATTAATATTATTATAATTCAAAACTGTTACGAACATAAAAATATGGTATAATATTATTAAAATTTTAAATTTGCAGGTAATTTTAAAATTTCATTGACTTCATAGAAAATTAGGGAATTAATTAACTTGCCAAAAAGTTCCTTGTTCTAAAGGTAACGAACGAGGTAAGAGTTATTCTAATTAAAACAAGGTCAAACCATATTTAAATCTGTTAAAATTGTTTTACTATTTTTGTAGTTTCATACTCATTAATTAAATATATATAGACAGAAAATATTAAAATTATGAATTATAAGCTAATTATACAGTAGATAAAGTAATTTTTTTTTAAATTCATATCTAATTAACTTCTATTATTAATACTATCGAATATTTATAGAATTTCTTATTAAGTTACTATCAAATAACGTCAAATTTAGACTACATTATTAATATCAGAATATTCTATTGTATAATTTTAGTAACTTAAAACAGGAGTCAAGAATAGATTTAATGAATCAGTATGCTTAAGAATCTGTAATGAATCAGTAAGCTTACATAAAAATATATTCTATATAAAGAATAAGTCGGATAAAAAGCTTATATCATACAAGAAGATAATGAAGTATTAAATTATCATTTTTAAAGTTTCAATTAGTCTTCAGTTATTTGAGATTGTCATCTATTTCGAATAAAGTTTAAATAGAGTCTGAATGTTAAGGAAGAAAAGCGGAAAATATATATTTTAAACGCATTTTCTATGAAATTTCGTGAATATTTTACAAAAAGACATGCTTAAAGACACATTTACTTACATATAGAACAGGAGCCTCCAGACGCCAGACTCGCTCTGAATAACCAAAGAGAATATTCCGTTTTTAGAGAAGTGAGTCTGACGCGACTTCTGACTTCATGACACACAAGTGATTGTCACTTACAAGTCAGTGAAAACTTCAAAATGGTTTCTAAAAGCTTTAAAATAGTTCATTAATTTCAGATTTTATCTGAAATTAACGCATAGTTTCAATATTTAATCTTAAAATTTATGAATCTTCTTCTGAAAATATGTTCTTGATGGAGGCCGAAATTATATAGATTTTAAAAATATTCGTAGTTTAAAACTTTCGTATAATATATAAAGAATTAAAATTAGAAAAAAAATATTGTATTTTGCGTTCATCAACAAAATGTGCTTAGGATGAAATAATTGATTGTAAAGTATTTTAATGAGTAGTTATTTTATAAAATTTAAAAATATTTTATCTCAAGGTGAAAATTGTATCCTGCAATAAAAACTGATTTTATCTTTAGCATTAGCAATTCGGTTGAAGATGGGGAGGATAACAAACTATTAATAGTTTTCATCTAGTATAAACAACCAAATATTTCTGCAGGAAATGAGGAAGAGCCAAAAGAGCTATATGAACAGATATATTAATTATAGTCCATATTATATTAAATTGCAATATTTTATTGCAGTTAAGAATATTTATGAAATTTTGTGAAATTTAATGTTTTTATATAACATTAATTTGCATTTGAAAAATAATACAATAGTTTATTGTTATTTAATCTAAAAAATTCTACCTTCAATTGCGCTAAAAAATTAGGCCATATTTATAAAAACAGGATTTAATATGAGTTAATTTAAATCTCTATTTTAATACGTTTTTATTATGATAAATATTTTTTAATTAAAAATTTTCCTTTTATCAATAACTCAAACTATTTATCGTTGAATAAAGTTTGCACTCAAAATTTTCTTTACAAAGAAATCATGAAACAATAATAATAAATTTGTTTTAAAATATGTTATATAATAAAATAATCATGTAATTTTTTAATGTTACAAACCAATTAAGTTTTAAGAAATATTCTATAATTATATAATTATTAAAATGAAAGAAAAACACTGATAATATAATAATCAGAAATAATTTCAATAATTTATTAATTAACTCTTTCTCTAAAAATTCAGTAAAATATAATGATGATTTAAATTTTCTCCGTTATAATTATTTTTTTATTTTTAAACATTAATTTATTTTAATTATAATTTTGAATAAATGCAATAAATCGTGATTAATAATTTATCAGTAAATAAAATAATTTAAATGCTCATTTGTGATATAAAATTGTATAAATATTATCTCCATTACTGTTTTTATATCTCAAATAAAAAAAAACGAATTTTACATAAAAATTTTTCATATTTTTGTTTAATAATCATACATATAAAAATATAAAAAATATATTTTATAGAAATGCATAATTTATATTTTTCTCGTACAAATAAGTATTAAATTATGAAGGGACACATAGATCTTCACACTTTTACGTGTCAGACAAATATCCTTAATGATCAGTTATATCAAGTATCAAATTTATTCTCCTGTCAAAAGTTGCAGACAGCGTTGTCTCCTCTAAAATATGATACAGAGGAACCTATCTAAAATTCTAATTTAGTCTTCTCTAAACAATCTCATTTGGGATCTTTATGATTGATTATGATTTATGATTTTGACCTTTATGATTTTTCTAAGGGCTTTCAGTTAACATTTCGAAATATTTAACATTATTATTTATCTTTCTTCAATTTCAATACGTATGGTACTATAAATTAACTTATAATTAATTACACCTTGATAATCCCTAGTTATCCCATATAATCCCATTAAAACTTTATTGGAACATAGTACTCATATCTCATTTGAAATATATATATATATATAAATTTAATTTTTTAAAGTTGAAATATATAATTAATACTCAAGTTTAACAATGTTAAAACATAGCCTATAATTAACTGGCAAATGGTCAATATAANTTTATTTATTTATTTATTTATAATTTTTAAAATGATAACTATAAAATTAATGTAATTATTTTTAAATCTATCATTTTGCATATTGATCATTGTTTTAAGTATAAACCTATTATTTATTTTTATTTTTGATATTTAATTAGAAAGTATTTTATGTAATCACGTCTACATGTTTCTAAAAATAACACATTTCACTTTTAATCAATGGCGTGTGAAAAATTTTTTCCATTAAAAAACATTATTAAAACTTTTAAATTTTGGAAACTAATTTTTATATTCTTGTATTTTACTTTATCCAAAGCTTATATAGTGATATTTAATACTTAATCTGATGTATATTAGATATTTTCACATTGTTTTGAAGAAAATTGTTCTTCACGTGAATGGCTATCTAAGCCAAGAATCTTTTTAACTTAGAAAAGAGGTCGATAGACTTATGTTTCTGGGCTTTTGTCCAATGTCAAACAAGCTCTTTTTAATTGCAAATCTTTATTTTTATATATTATTAATGTCTCATAAAATTTTAAGTAAGATCACATTTAAAAAAGCATTAATTAAAGAATTAAAACAGTGTAGTGACTGTTGAGTAGTGACTAAATGTTTGAGTAAGTGAGGATAATATGTGCATATGTCATTGATTATGTGTATTAAATAATTATGTCTAGAAATATTAACAGTTTTTATATTAAAAAGTTATTTTAAAAATTTTAAATTTTTAAAGAAAATTATTAAAACTAATTAAATATTTTTAGAAGCAGAAGTAAAGAATTTTAAATAATTTTAAATAATTGAGTAAATAATTGAAAATTAATTAAATTTAACTTTTTAAAATGTTAGATTTGGAATTCTAAAACTGAACTCTTTATATAATCTGTTTTGGCATTCCTCATATTGTAAACAAGGTTTCCTAATAGAATATATGCTTCACGTGTGCTAATGTATACTGCGAATGCCAAATCTCTAATATAAGCTTACAATTATATAAAAAACAAAATTGCGTATGTTTATTTGAAAAAAGTTGGTGTATTTTTAACAATATTACATATATATATATTAATATCTATAACAATAATTTTTAATTTGTTTAATTTAGCAGGTATTATAACTATATTATTTTTCTATACTCACTTTTTAAAAATTGTTTTCTATCCTATATTATAATTTCCATACACATTAGCAACTTGTTAACCAAAGCAAGTGTTTATGGTTACCTCAATTGAGAGCACACGCCTCTAGCAAAACATTGGCCTAGTGATATTTTAAGGTACTGAAACAAATAAGGCAAAGAAATTGTGGGATCTTTGCCAAAATATTTTACACTTTACTGGCGAACTAAATATAGAGGAAAAGAACCTGTGCCTTCCCAATGCTCCTTCAGAAACTGCAACGAAGAATACCTAAAACTTTTTAATCAAAAGATGTCATCTCCTGTTACGAAAATTCATTCATTCTTCACAGAATCACACTTCATTAACATAACAGGCAATTATTACATAAACGGTTTTCTTTATAAAATGCTTTATTGTATTTAAAATTTTCAAATTGCATCTATAACCATGATTTTAATTAAAAGAAAAAAAAGAAGAACATATTTTAAAAAACACATTTGTCTTTTAGTCTACAAGAATAGAATATGAGAAATGTTAAGGAATTTAAACATGCTGTTCATGCTGGCTGCTTTTCAGCGAAGAAAATATATTTAAATGTGAAAGGATTGATTGTAATTTTTAAGACTGGCCCAATAGTATTTCTAAGATTCAAATTTAGAAAATAAATTCCAATGTTCAGTCGACGGTAGTATGCGTGGCTTCGAGACAAAAATAGCAAATGATTCAGAAAAGGACACATTATACTCCTCCGACAAGACGGACTTATGTGGCAAAGATGCTGGAAACTTCGGTAGACGAAGTAAAACTGAACAACTAGGGATATTAGCCAAGGAGATGTCACTCGAATGCTAATACTTGGGAAAAAATTTTGGCTTTAAACCAAAATTACTTTCTAAAATTTTGTATATACAGAAATGAGTAATTACTATAAACTATTATAGATTTAAATAAACAGGTTCTGTTTAATTTATCAGTTTTTCCTATTCGTAGCCTCGTTACGTAACAATTATATAATAAACTAGCATTTATATTTATTTAGCATGAAGATTTAAAATAAATTCGCTGTTTGTATTATTTATTTTTTTAAGTAATTCGATAATGAAATATTCTTTTCTATACAATATATTAATAGAATAATAATTCGGTTTTTTTAGAAATTTTCTTTAAAAATTAAAACATAAAAAGTTGAAACGATTTTTTAAATTATTAATTTCTGTTAATTATTTTTAAAATATGTAAAAGGAAATATGTTAAAATAATATAAAAATTTTTCAATTCCATTTTATAACAACATATATATATATATATGCAGTGTTATATACAATTAAACCTGTCCAAAGCGGAACCTGAATAAAACGGAAACCTGCCTAAGCGAAAAAGTCTTCGGAACGGAGCGATTTTTCAATGTTAAAAAAAAAACCTGTTCAAAACGGAAAAAATATTCGGTACCGTACGATTCCAGTTTAGGCAGGTTTTACTGTATATAGGCCTAGGTATGTGTATGTGTATGTGTTATAATTCGACTTCTGCATTAAATTATATAATTAAATTGAAAATCATTACATTTTCGAAATGTATTTCATTGTTTTTCGTTATAATTTCTATTTAATTTTCAAGTACAGGTAACCCCCGTATAACACGGTAGTTACGTTCCAAAAAATTGCTGTGTTATGCGAATCCGTGTTATACGAAACAAAGAACTAATACGAAAAGGAGGGTTAGGTTCCAAAAATTAAAAAACATGCTACTATATTTTCATAATTAAGATAAATATCTTCATTAAATTTTTTTTAAGTGTTACATATTAATATAAATTAAACAATGTTTTCTTCGTCATCACTAAAAACACTATTAATTAACCGAGAGCGTTTTCTTTTTGGCAAGTTATCCTTATCCTCTGAGCATTTTTCTGCATTATCTTCAGATCCATGCTTTACCTTTTGCAAAATGTATGTAATTTTAGATTGCTTGCTTCTAGTTAAAAGGTCTTTATAAATTTCCTTATATGGTGCTAAGCACTTATGAAGAATAAAGCAAGTATGGAATAAGGGAAAAACATTCGGCAACATCAGAAGCAGAAGCGTCGCGATCTGGCAACATTGAAACAAGTTTCGAGAAGGACCACGTGTATCGACAGAAGGCGAGAAGAGAAAATTTACATACTTAAGTACTGATAGTTCACGAAAATTATTATTTTCGTGAACCATTATTACTTAAGTATGTAAAAATTTATTACATTTCCTGTTGTACGAGGGTTTTACCCAATTCTCGAACCGTGTCAGAGTGAATCCGTGCTATAGAAGTGCCGTGTTATACGGGGGTTACCTGTACTGTATATTGTTCAAAACAGTTAGGTATTGAAATATCAAATTCGTTTTAAAGTTGAATCATTATCATCAATCTGACAGTATATCTTTACAGTATATTATTCATAAAGAATATCTGAATTTTTTATTTGTAAATAGTTCGTGGGGTCCGGTGAATTTGAAATAGGGAGCCCCAGGTAGTGTTGACTTTCGACATGTTTCTTCTGGGGAATTTTTTGGAGATATATCTTCTTATAAAAGATTAGTTTGGAACCCCTGTTGGTGAGGATCCCAACTTCTTTTTTTTGTTTTTTTTTTGTCCATAAGATAACGCGCCACTGTAAGATACATAGCTTAAAAATTTTTAAATTCTTGATTATCATAATAGTTTATATAATGAGAAACTTTACCGAATCATTCAATAGCTCGTAAATTTGAGTACTGTACAGAATTAATTAAAATAATAAGATAATTTCTTGAAAATATTTGTAATAGAATCGAGTTATTTCTGCCGAACAAGAAGATTTTGCTTTTTGTTCGGGTTGTAAGATTATCTTATAACTGGTATGATTTCTATTTACTTTCTAATTTGTTAAGTATTTATTAAAATCTTTATTTATTTTCATTTTTCAGAACAGAGAACGCATAACTTGCTGATAATAATAATTACGTTTACATACAGTGTATAAATTTATGTTTATTCGGAATAACGTTTATAATTATTATTCACAATAATAATGTTTTTGTCAGAGCACGGATTATAAAAAAAACAAACAAAAGAAATAAAGAAGCAGGATAATAGCAAAGAAGAGTAAATCGATAATTTCTTAGAATTCGATCGCTAACATTTTATCGAAATTACCTTTCCGGGAACAAATAACAGACTTCATACAAAGAAACTTACAGTATCATTTCAAGGAATCTCCTGAAGGAATTTCTCTAATTAATAAACATCGTTTTTAAATTTATTTATTTTGTTTCTTCTATAAATTATTAATAATTAAAAAAGGATAATAATTAAAGCTGTAATAGGAATTATATTCACTAATTTTAAAATAATGAAATTAAATTATAGAGAGTATTTCAGATACAAATTTTTATAATCGTTTGAAATAAATTTTTCAATTTATTGTTATTATTATTTCCAAAGCGTTAAATTTACAAACAGCGTGTAAATGTATCACGTAAAAAAACACTAATTGTATTTAAGAAATTTCGTAATGTAGGTTTCATAGAAATTTCAAAACATTTTAGAACACTATATATGTACAGTATATATTTTTTCTAAATGTTCGTGTTTCCATAGCATAAATATTTAAACAATTTTATAAATTTCTTATAAAATTTTATATTGCTTAAATTAACATTTTGACATAAATGTATAGTACAGTAACATTTATATTATATTATCAATATAATATGAATGTATATGCAACAGATATGATGTACTGTACAATATTCAAATGAATATTGTATATCACATTTTATGTGTTGTTGTGAGGTTTTTAGTGAAGAATTTAAGGTTAGTTGGCTTAAGAATATTATAACGATCTTTCTTTTATATATTAATTTAAAAACTAAATAATACAAAAGCGTCAGAAAAGCATTTATGATTTAAAAAACTATCCAAAGTAATTATTGATAAATAGCCTATAATATTTATAAGCGATTGACTTAAGTTACTTTTTTATATTGATGAAGATCAAAATTTAATCAAAACTTGATTTTAGAATCTTTAGCCTAATTATAGAATTCTGTAATTTGAAATTAGTGGGAATTTATGTCCTTTGCAGATAAAAATTTTTCATATCGGACTTTAATTAAATTAATTAAGACTGTATGAATATAATATTCATTTATGAAACTATAACATTTTAATTAAGAGGGTTTTCTGTGATAAACTTGACCCTATTTTAGAACATGAAGAAAAGACAAAAAAACCCTACACGGCCAGTCTTTTGGTCGGGTGTGAGTCTGCAATCACCAGTGTTCAGTGGTTTTATTTATTCGGCCTCGATCGGTTCCGATTAACTGAATATTAAAAAAGAAAACTATTTTTTAAACAATATTTGATGTACGAGACATCAAATATCGTTTAAATACACTCGGTCGGATAAAATTAAATGTAGGCTAATTAGATTCATAAAGGTAAAATGTTTTTATTAATTTCCTGACGAATTTATTACATTTTGGCATATTCATTTTATTCATTTTTGTTACAGTATTGAAACTAGATGAGATGCTTGCATTTGCCTCTGGCACTTCGCGATACCGTAGTCTTCGAAATCGGAGAAAACAATGGAAATTTGGATGCTTTTCTGTCATATATGTTTACGTAAATAAAAGAATTTAACTGTTTTCTCACTAAATAAGATAAAACGAACTTTTCTATTTGGATATTTTCCCATATGTGCAAGAGTTTTTAAAAAAAATCAACAATGGCGAAGCCAAAATTTAAGTATATTCTGGTTTAAACTCGTCGGGATAGCTAAGCTTAATCAATTGGTTTCACATATCGGACGATACACAGATTCAAAATAAAACAAGCAATTATTTATTGTAATATCGTCAAAATACCAGGCTGCAATTTTTAATCATATTTTTAAAATTTATTTTATTTAAAATATATAATATATGCTCTCCACCTCAAATCAGCAATGTACAGTACTGTACAGTACATCATACATTTCCTGTTAGCAACAGAGTCGTGCCGTCATCTATCTAATTCCTTAGAGGGGAAAATTTTTGAATTGAAGTAACATGACTTCAGGTTTGCATCGGAAGTTCGTATATAGTTAATTCTCTAAGTTTTCCATATATGGCCTCGTCTTTCATCTGTCTAACTCCATTCTCGAGATTAAGG